CCCCCCCCCCTCATTTGGCGATTTCGGTCCATCATATATCTTAAACCCCCCTCTCATTTGGCGATTCCGGTTACACGCCCACTCATCTGGCGACAACAAGTTATAAGTTTGACAAACAACAGAAAAATTCGAACAACTAACACAAAGCCCAAATTTGCAATTCCGGCTCATCATAACCAGAGGACCACGGAACGAGAGGACCAGAGGATCAGAAGACCAAGGAACTGCGACGCGAAACGTGTAAAGTACCAGAGGACCAGGCATCGAACTACCGGACTTGAGAGCCAGAAGACCAAAGGAACAGGGATCGGGTGGCCAGGCGACCCACGGACGCGAAGACCAGCAGGCCAGAGAAACCAGAGGGCCAAAAAAGACGTAGCAGAAAGTCGGAAAACCACGGAAGAAGCATGGGACCAAGAAACCAGAGAACCAGGGGAGCGCAGGACCAGGAGACCACGGGACCTTGAAAGCACGGGACCAGGAGACCGGGGGACCGCGGGACCAAGACCGCGGGACCAGAGGACCACCTTATCCAAACCTTTTAAAGGACAGCCTCTCGCAAAACCTTAATTAATTCAAACCTGGCCCGGACAACATCTCAAACCACGAAAGCTATAAATAACGGCATTCAGAGGACCGGTCCATCTCCACCAAAAGCATCCAAAAGCATAACACGCAAACCGAACACGCAAAAGCACTGCAAATACCGTTGAATTTCGCCCCGTCCCCAATCACGACATCCGACGACCCCCGAACACCCCCGGCGGAAAGCGCGACACCTTCCACGATGTCAAGTTGCGTACATGCCCAAGCCAAGGCATGCCCACAACGCAACCAAGCTTACCGGCCGAAGCTCAACAAGAGGGCTGTTGAACCGATCCTGGCTGGCATAGGCAACCTCAATGCCAAGGTCCTCCAAGACAGCAGCTGAATGAGCATGTCGGTCAATGGAATCATGCTCAATTTGGTTGTTTATCGGTCCTGCCAAAGCTCGTACAACTTCGGCATGAAGACCTCCACCAGCAAACATTACGGTACGCTCGTCTGCACGCGCTGCAAAATGAGACGGGGATAGGATGCAGACTTGCAATAATAGTTGTGTGCACTTACTGGGTTCCCGGTGCCTTTTCATGGGGACTGGAGACTGACTCAGTCAGCCGAGACACGAGAACCGTAGGCCAAGGTGCCAACCAAGCCATTCTCATACTGTTCGTTAGGTCCGTTTTCTGTCCTTTGCCATTTTGTTGAATTATGTGAAATACTACTCCTTTTGCATACCACATCCCCACGTGCGTTTACGTACCGGCAATCGCGTGTTTAATCGCACGCATGCATTCTTGAACTCTGTCTGCGTGTATGTATGTCTGTGTATGTGTATGTGTATGTGTATGTGTATGTGTATGTGTATGTGTATGTGTATGTGTATGTGTATGTGTATGTGTATGTGTAGGTGTAGGTGTAGGTGTA